CGAAAATGAAGTGACAAAGTTGGAGTCACAATATAAACCTATATTTTCAGCAAATCATTACGTGGGTTGCACCGGTTCTCAGCCAAGCACGCGTGGCTTTACATGTTCAGTTTGGCAGTTATTCCATTACTTGACTGTACAAGCAGCACGCACTGAAATCAGTCAGGATCCACTGGAAATTCTACAAGCTATGCATGGATACATAAAACACTTTTTCGGGTGCACTAATTGCGCTGAACATTTCCAAGTAAGTCTTAATTATTACTCGATCATTACTCGAATCCTATATAAAAACATTTTATGGTTTTTTTTTTCTATGTCTTAATCAGAATGATCTCATGCAATTGTTTTATTTATGTCGTATATACATTTATTAAGTTAAGTACACGTATAGTATGTATACTCCATACCGTATATGGCTATAATGTACTGCTGTGGTTCAGTAAGCTTAATGGCATTTGCCTTCAATAATGACTGCGCACGTTTTACTAATGCGATTCTAGCAGTTCGCATTAAATATAGAAATGGAAATAATGTATTATAAATAAGTGATTATATAAATATCAGTAAATGAACTATAAGTAATTTGCTAAAATATTAACAAATTTCTAATTTTAAATATCAAAATAATTTATTTTACCATGTATCTTAATTAATAGGGGAATGTACCCAAGACCTTAGCAAAAAATTACCTACCTTTGGATGTACTTTTAAATAATTTCTGTAATTCAAAAAAAATGTTTCTTATTAAGCAGTCACGCTACATTATTAAAAAATACACATGTATATATCGACATAGCCCATTCATTCATATTGGTTCCTTCCTTTGAGAGGCTAAAGCCTCTGTAGCTATGTGCTTCGAACTTTGTATACATGCTTCGAACTTATTAGAAGCTAAAGAGGTTATTATTTTAAACTGTATATTTTCATTGTACGAATGGTTCAATTCTAACACTACATTTATCATAGACAAATGGAACCCAAGACGGGTATATGTCTTAGAAAGCCTAAAACCCAAACTCCTTGCTACTTTGTAATCTGCTTACTTTAAAAAGAAGAACAAATTATTATCCAAACTTTAGTCTTGTATATTTACACTACAGCAAAAGTACAATATTAGCCCTATATTCCTCCAGTGCTTATGCTATCTCTTAACTCTTTCCCTGTCAGGGACTCAAAGTTAAAACTTTTTTAATCAAATTAAATAATTTATTAATTCTATACAATTTACAAATATACAAAATTAAATTTCTTAAACATTTTCATGCAATTCACTGGGACATCTAATAAAAAGCATGGTTAGAGAATTGATTGTTAATGAAACTACATCCGCGATGCTATTATTTGATTATAAATAAATCGGTTTACATTTTAATCCACAATATACCGAAATTTGGAAATTCTTTTCTAATTACTTCTTTTTCAAATCAGCCGAGTAGATGAAGACAATTCAAATGCAGTCGTTAAGTTGATTTTAAAAAAATTGCTTATAATCTAAGCAGTATAATTATAATTGTTGTCCGATCAAATAACCAGAAATTACCAAAAACATATATTATCCAAATATATCTTTAATAAAATAATTTATACTACTCTAGAAGAAGCATCCCATCTAATCGTTTTACAAAATGTTAAACATTGAGGATCAGAAGCGTTTGTTTGAACCTTTGTATTTATCTTTGTATTCATCTTTGTTTCTAAAATTGATTTATTTTTGTTTAAGTCAGCCATTAATTTGGTAACATCTGAGACTTAACAAACTGTAGACGAGTTTTCCATTTCCGTCAAACCACATGTCACGGTAAAAATTTCGTGATGGGTGTCGATAGTTTTGTGTGTATGAGCTGACATTTTAAATAGAATGTCTTTAAGCATTTTTTATAAAATAGTATGGTATGACCTATAAATGTCACATGAGACTAAACCGGTTGACATCTAGATGACACGCACAAACACAGTATCCTTAGCAACAGCAGACCCTAGCAGATCTATATAAGTTATTGTGCCACTCGTTGTTGCAAATGCACCTTGTGCTGGAGTTTGGTAGTTGCCAAAAGAGTCCTATAGCTTTACCACTATTCCGCAATCTTTTTGAGTTTCTGTCTTTTTAGCACTACAACCAATCAGGGAAGTGTCTTTAATCATTTTTTACTTTTAACCTACTAATTTAAATTATTGTTGCAATTATTAGTGCTATTATGATTAGCAATATCATTAAGTTTATATAAGAAATGTATTGTGTGCAGATAGATTTCTCAATATAATATATTTTTGGCTTGTTCTATCGTTTGATCTTGAGATATGGAATGTTGTTAGTAGCTTTAAACGCAAGTTGTTCCAAAGCAAACATAAACATAAATACAATTTCATTCTAACATTACAATATAATACTAAAATAGTATCTATTTTAAATAAATAAAATAAAAAACATGCTTAGATAACTACTCACTACTTCAGCATACTTAGAAGTGTAATATATAAGAATGTAAAAATGGTTCTATTAAGCTTAAATAGCATTATACCTAATATATTAATTAACCACATATATTTTATATATACATATATTGATTGCTATTTTTCTAAGGAATTAAATTATACAATATTTTTTTAAATTAATGCTAACGAATCAATTTCATTGCCGGACTCATTATTCTAATCATTTAATTTTTTGTATGACTTTTTTTATTGCAAATTTGTTTTTATATAAATAATTGCTTTGTATATTAAAAGTTTATTTTAGGAAAAATATAAATCAGAAAATTGCTAACATAAACATTTTTTCCCAAATGTTGCTGATTATTAAATTAATTATCAAGCTCGACTTTATCAATTTTTTGTTTACTTTGCACTGTGTTAAACTTTCTAATTTTTCTCCATGTCTGGGCAGTAGTCAGTATGAGATACACATGTCGTATCTACAAATACAGGAATAAATTGATTGTATTGGAATAAGGTGAGCCATATAAAAGAACAAACTAAACAAGTTTACTATTATCAGCATAAAAAATTTTAATCAATATTGTTGTTTTAAAACGTTTCAAGCAAACTTCTTTGCCCCTCTATGTCTATAATTCATTCTTTGACTTATTACTCCATCCAAGTTATCTGTCGATACGACCGAATTGTTACAAGATTTTATTATTATGCAAAATATTTCAATCATAAAAAACACAATCTTCAATACATTCAAAAAAATATATTTACAAATGTGTTAATTATTTTATAGTATGAAGGTAAAAGTGGAAGAGAGGAAGCATTGGTTGACTTCTAATAAGCAGAGTCATATGTGGTTGTTTTCTTTGAAAAAGATATTTCCATTTTATAATATAAGCGTATTAAGTGTTATAGATCTGATATTATATATATTCTATTTATTAAAACAAATCTGTTGTTTTCATAAATCTGATCAAATTTAAAATAGATTATCTTCAAACTATTATTTTTAAAATTTTTTAGACGTCTCTAATATTGCTAATTAATCGTGCTTCTAAAAATTTGTCAAGTTTGTCATCCTTACGAAGGATGAAGTTTCGATGACTGCGAAATGCCACATAATAGTAGGTGACAATTAGATCCGGTTAATTTTACAACTAAATATGTATCGCTACATATATGTATAATGCTCACTATGTTTCTAAGGCATAACATTGATCAGAGTGTACAGGTTGAGTATCGACCCATTAAGGATGTGTGGGAAACATAAAATCAAACTAGAAAATGTTAGTGATCATTTGTATAATAAGTTTATATACAATATATATATAGTATATATAAATATGTTTTATAAATAAACGGCTATTAAAGAGAATTTAATTTAACCAATATATTTATGAGCCTTACAGTTTCAGTCACTGATAGTTGTTTCAGTTCCTTAAAAAATCGTTTCTAAAGATTGTAGCCTGACTGCATTCTAAGACTGAACATATGCTAGTTAGTACTTCATAATTTTTTTCATTTTTATTACTACTTCAGATAGTAGTTTTGCTATTTTAAAAGTTATATTTAAGCCAAGTTAAGTTAAGAAGACTTTTCAAAATTCCATGGTACATTACGACGAGTGATATCCTCAGGGACATCAAGATTGATCCCATCAAAGGATACATAAATGATAGTACACTAAAATTATTTGCGAAAACTGGCAGACTTACCAACACCGCGTTATCAAATCTTAAAATGGTTACAGACTCCTCGGGGAGGTATGCAGATCTGAGGTCAATTATTGCTTAGTCTGATGAAGTGATAAACAATAATGTAGTCAAGGTGTAAAGACGGGTTTTGAAAATATCTCGAGTTAAATAGGAGTATAAGAGCTTAAGTGCTCTAGCTCAAAACAGCTTCAACATAATTAATTCAGCACTGACTGCTTGTGTAAATGAAGTGATTTTTATCACTTTAGCTTTCGTTTTGATACGACATATTAAGTATTATACTGATTTTTACGTTAAAAGGAAAAATAAACTCGTTATACGATAATTAATACTTGCGAAAATGTAGTGCTTTTTTTCTGATTTCCGAATGAACGTTAATTAAATACATACAAATATAAATTAGATCTTATTATGAGAGCACGTATGCACTTTTTATATAACTTTAAATATAAAAAAATTCTATGACAGACCAATGAAATGAGCTCAATAATTTGTGAGCATTAGTGACGGTTGTAGTAAAAATATATAGTAAGGTGTGTTCGATAGCTAATTGCGGGGTAATGTTGATTAAAAGGCATTTCCTTACTGACAACGTGAAGTCATTTCAAGTATTGAGTTCATTTATTTAATAATCTTTCTACTAATCTAACAATTAGTATTTAAACCTTAAATGCAATAACGTTATTGTCTTGCAGTCCTCCAAATGATACTGACTGCTATAATATACTTTGAATAGGTTGAATCATTAAGTTCATTAATTAATTATTATTATAATCCTTGGTATATTAATATAATTTATGGATTCGGAAATTCAAATTAATTATTTTTTTTTATGAATAGTTAATAAAAAAATTTACTAGTTTTTTTTAGTAAAGAATTTGGTCACATTAATTTAAATGAAAAGGGCATAATACATCTTGACAATGTCATCTGGCTATTTTACGTATGTAAATTATATTTTTAGACAATAAAATATTAAATTGCTTTGTTATTTTCTTAATTAAAATTAACAATATAATTGAATAATTGAAAAGAAAACCGCTGTTATTAGTATTTTTATAACAATAATTTATTATTATACAATATATTTTAAAATTTCCATTGCAAATGAATTGAAAAGTTCCTATAATTATAGCCGAAACTAGCAGAATATAAAATCATTATCATAATTTAAGTTCTGAATGGTTTCAGTAGCAGTTATATTGACATAACTAAACTCATTACTGGTGTAAAAAGATTAACATTTCGGATTGGATGCTTGGCATGCTGTGTTTGAAGAAGAAGCTCACGCCTTCAAGGCGTCTGATCATTTTTATCGCTTCAAGACCTTAAAGTAAGTCCTACATCTGTATCCATACATATAATTAATCAGCACTCAAATAATTTTCATCATCGAAATTTTCTTTAAGATTATTATGATATTCTGTAACTATTAAGGTGCCAAAAATGCGTAATACATCTCTAAATACTAAAACATTCAGGAATTGCTAGTTAGAAGCTAACAATGAACTCACTAGATTGTCGCTGCTAGAACGATAAATAAGGTACTCGTTTGCGAAAAGGGAGATTAAATTCATTATTTTGCCTATTGAAAAGTAGCTTTTCTCATTAACAGAAAGCTGAAGCTACAAATAAGTCATCAGGACATGTGTTCATCATGTACTGTATTTACTACTAAACTGCTCAATATATTAGTTGACAAAATAAACTTCTCAATTTTGTTTAGCAGTGTATGTTAATTATTAATTAAAACTGACTTTTCTGAAAATCGGTGGTAACTTATTTATTTAGTAAATACCGCCCATGCTTATGCTGTATAAGACAACGTCTTCATGTACAAATCCGTTAATTAGTTGCTTAACAAAAAACACTCTATTATCTTAAAATTATATGTCAGGAGATGGCATTCCGGATATACTATTCAACCATGAAATATACATAATGTACCTTAATGCAAATATACTCATAAAAATAAAGGTCCGTTGCTTTTGATAAGTGACACATACAGCTCATATAAGTGAAAAATGTTCAGTAACTCACAGAGTAATAATTTGAAAATTCTTGTAGTAGACTTTATGGTCTGCAGTGGAAGAATGTATTAGATTAAAAAGCTTATGGATATCTAAACGAATATCATTGACTTTCAATCGAGATCGGTGGAGAATCTCATTCCTTTTATGACTATCTAACCAAATAGGCAGACCATGCATGGATTATGAATACCTAGTTAGATAGAAAAATTTAAGGATACCTAAGTGAATGACATCAACATCCAATCGAGTACGATAGAAAAACTTCATACTCATCGAACATCATTTGTAATGTTGATTATAATGGTGATAAAATGTTGACGTCCAGAAAATGATTTTATCAAATATAAACCATAATCAAGATGTGATGTGATTCAATACCGTGATTATCTACAATGGAATAAGCATTCCGTGTGATGGCTCTATGATTACTCTGATGAATTAACTAAAGCAAAAGTTTTGTTAATGTCTGTAATCAGGAACTCTGATAGTAGATACACTGGCCTTTATAAAACATCGAGTGAATACTTTTCGATTACAGATTTGCTTTCGGAACAAGAGATATATTATATTTTTAGTGATTTGAATGTAGCATATTGGAACCTTTTGTGTCTAATGCCTTATTAGAATTATTGAAATAATATTCAGAGACAGCTCATTTATTATCTATATCGAACCAGTTCTATTGTATGATATTCTATCGTTTACAATTATTTTCTTTTATTTATGTTTGGTTATATGTTGTCTGTTTTGCTTTCATCAATAGAATCAATAAAACACGCGAAGGCCCTAAACAAAACAACCAATCAATTTACAAAGTATCTAACTAAACGAAAAAAATATTTATAAAAAGTAGAATTTAATAAGATTATAAAAACTAGAAGAAAGAAACAGTTTTATGGTTAAAATTTTCTCGAATTATTTATTCAATATTTTGTTAAAATCTGTACATAAATACAAATTTAAAAGATGTTATTCTAGAATCTATTGTAATATAATATTAGAATGTGTATTTATATACATATTTATATACATGAAATGCAGTAAATTAATATTATATCAATTTAATAGTTACCTACTATAAGAAATTTTCCATTTTATCATATATTATTCAAATATATAATTTTGTTTGCACCTTAATTGATGTAATTTTATTATTATAAAAATATTTAGTTATATACAAACAAGTGTATTCTATATTTGCATATGTTTTCCTAAAATTCTATTAAATGCAATTACTTGCTTCTGAATTGGTATTAAATTGAAATTATTTGCTAAATAAAAATAATGTACCGTAAAAATTTTTTCCGCGACCTTCAGAAATTAAATATATCTGAATGGAGAAACTCTCTTTCATTCTAACACTCACATGTACATATATATCAGTACGTAGATATATTGTATAAATATAAACATTTAGTATATTAAGTTTCAACGGAATAAATATAAGGGGCGTAATATAAGAAATTAGGTCATAGTTCTTCATTAAGTTTGTATTCCAAACTTTATAAGTAGAATAGAATATTTCTATAGTTTTATCTAAATTAATGTAATTTATTAATTTTTTTGACGTATTAACAATATCGTAAAATAATACTCACTACGTTCAAGATTCATACGAAAGAATTTAATTGAATTTCGATTGTTCTCTGTAAAATACTTGCGTTGAATATTTCAACAACCTGAGCTGACACACATAAATATAAGCACAGCTGAATAAATGTATCTGAAATGGCATTGATATTTATTACAGAATGCATATTTCATTATTTTACCTAAAGCAGATGTACGAGTACTACGTTCAAGAAAATATGTTTACTTATCAGCTTAGTTTTTATTTTTGATCAAAAATTATTACAAGAATAATTAAATTTTGTATTGAAATATTTATTATACAAACAATTATTAAAAATTTTCGAAATTTTTTCAATTCAGATACAATAGCTAAAGCTAAATTTGTATATTCTTAAGTTCTTTGACTACGGAGAAGCTATAAGGGTATTGACCTTTCGCTTATGTGTTGTTAATTCAACATTTTAAAGTTTGTTTAATTGCATTTTTCTGTAATTCAATAAATTATATATGAAAAAAATTATATTAATATATATATATAAACAATTATATGGTTGCTTTCATTAAGTACATTAACATATGACTTTTTCTAAACTTGGTTTTTTTTATTCTCGTACTAGCATACAGCAAAAGTTTCGTAATTATTTAAGTTCTAAAATATAAGTTCAGTTTTTTAGAATGAAATTAAGTAAATAAGATAAGTAAGTAACAGTTTTACAAATAAAACTGAGTAAAAAATAAAATATGCCTCCATCCATAAGCTCTCTTACTGGCCGTTACTCGCTAGAAGGTGTACTTCAATTCTTGGGTCCCTCTTCCTTATATTTTTGCACAAAATCCTGATCTACTACCTACTGCAATAAATTCGTAAATAATTTTAAATTTACAATTAATTATTTTTGATTAATTAAAATTTTAAAATATTAATAACAATTAAGTAATATTTATGTATATAGATATTTAATACGTTCGAAAATAGTCAAGCATTTTTCGGGCAAAGGTATACATACGGTATAGTTACGCGCAAATTTTAATCTCGAAAAAAAGATATACTTATAAAAATACCGCTACATGACGCTCATCCTAAGTATAGCTAAGTATCAGGTATCAAACCCATTAAAAAATTTGACATTTTTGATTATTACCTTATATTCAGCACATTGTCATTCGCCTTACATTTCATATTAATAATTATTATTATTGAAAAGAAAGAATAGTGCACTGCGACCTACAAGATCTGTTGTGCCCCTTAATCGGATTAGAGTGTTTTTCCAAGTCCGATTTCTTTAATGTAAGACTGTATAGAGCCTATCTTTCCTTGTCTTGAATCCTTATAATCCATGAAATTCCCTCCTAGCTGTTTCTTCCGCTTGTGCATCAGTGCCGGACACTCTGCAAGCACATCGTATGCAGTTTCTCTCTCTTCTCTACAGTGTCTGCAGTCTGAGATGGATTAAATTTTTAACTTCGATAGGTGATTATTCAATTTGCAGTGACTGGTCAATAATCCCGCAATAATTCTTAGGTTTTTTTTTGATTGCGCTATGCAATCTTTGAAGCGTGTTAGTTTGTAAGTCCCTAAAAGCATTTTAGATTGTGATATTCTTGATAACCTTACCCAAAAGTGTTCTCTTTCTTTTTTCTCTCCGCCGTTCATAAGAATAGATAGAATTCCTTTCTATCCATGTTTAAACCACAAAATGTTTCTCGGTCTATCTTCTTGCAAGTTTGTCTGCCCTTTCATTGCCTTTGGTGCCAGCATCATATTAATAAAGTATATAATAATAATAATTAAAAAAAATATATAATAAAAAAATTAAAAAAATTTTAAAAATAATATTTGTAAATATCTTTGAATGATATTCAGATATATCACGTGGATTTTAATTTCAATCTAATTTTAATTATGGTAAATACAAATTTATATATAATAGTTGTAATAGTTGTGTTCATGAATATAATAATCGTCATCAGAGTTTTTAGTTACATTCTGATATATGTCGTAATTTACAAACTTAAGCTAATATTAATTATTATTTATGTATTGAAATTATATTAAAAAGATTGTAATATATATTTAAATTAGTTGAATTTTTGGCTGGCCATACAGCTGTTTCGAGTATTACCAATCATCAGTGCTTTTAGAATTATTTCTTATATTTAAGTATTCATAAATAATTTTTTGAGACCCATAAATATAGCATTTTATTAAAATATTATTCATTTTCAGGCAATGGCAACAAAACGGAAAATCTGGAGCACACCGAATAAAGACGATGCAGTACTATGGTTATGGGCAGCACATAATGAAGTGAATAATCGTCTCGCTGGTGATTCTACAGAAGATCCACTATTTCCAAAAATACAATTTCCTAGTCAATCAAGCTGCAGTGGTTGTTATAAACAGCCGATCTCTCCTGCTATAATGGAAACGAATTGGGACAAAAACGCAGTTTTGAGTTTTCTTAAAAATATTCACAATCCAGAATACATCAGTCGTTATGGTGTAGAACACGAGGAATTACTTCAACCGACTATAGAAAAACTAAGACAAAAGCGTATGATTGGCAATGTATTTTCCGATATGGACATGCGAATGGGTATGCTGCTCTATGTGTTCTGTATTGGTATGATGGTGATAGCATTTAAATTGTTCGCATTCAAAGGATACAGAAAGAAGCCATATGGACACGATTTATTAGGAAAAGTTTAACAAATATAACTTTATTGTAATAAATTATTAAATGATATGTGCAACAAGGTTTTTGGATGATAAAGACAAGAGCAAAGAATTTGCTCCAAATTAATTAATAATTAATTCCATATCTAATAATTGTAACTATTCCATTTCAAATAATTGAAATTATTCCAATTGTAATAATTGTACAGAGATTATATGACGTCTAGAGATTTTTTAATGTTCTTTAGTGAATTTTATAAATATTTTAAGTGTGTTGAATGTAAAAATTTTGTATGCTTTTATTCCAGTTAATATTTTATACTCAAACTATATCCAAATAATTTTTTTAAAAAATTATTTTAATTAAATATATTGTATAAATAAACTTCTTTTAACTCATGTAGTTTAACTACTTTGTATAATTGTGCAGTTTTTTATGTATGGGAATCGAGTCGTGTAATTATAAGAAGTTCTATTTACATGTTCAGTTGAAGCGTTGACATCTTAGATATTCAGTTTTTTTTTTTATTTTCAACGAGCAATTATGGATAGTTTATTTTCAAACAAAACACATTTTTTAAATGTTAATAAACTGACACCTTTCCTATTGTTGAAATAGTAAATTTTATTTAATAATAAAATACATTGTAAATAGTTGTTATCATTCTTTTTATTTAAGAATTGTCATAAAAAATTTAATGACTATTTAAAAGCTATTGAATATTAAATAAAAAACAAATTATCTTCATGTTATAATATATAAAACAAAAGAAAAATATATTTAAGATTACAATGCAAGATTACAATGCATGGAAGTAAAAAATAAATATTATTTTGTTCCGCCCCGCAGCCAGAATTATCTACTTCATAATTATAGAAGTAATCTCCTAGATATGCAAACACTTTAAAGATTCAAGGGTTTTTGGGTAAAAATTTAAAAAAGTAGACCGGCTGATAAGTTGATTTTTAAAAAAAGTTGCTTCTTTTGCTTTTATATTTGCTTACATGTAGCCTTATTTCGAAAGTGGTTCAACCCCTTAAGCTCACCAACTTTAGCTACGTGCTTAAGTTTGTTAAATAGAAATATATAAGCCCTAGTAAATTTAGTCGATTTTTATTACTTTTCACATGAAATTTTCTATCAATAGAACTATTTAACCTTTGGTTTGTTTATATTGATGATCACATATTTTGTTATCATAGTTTTGTTTAGGAGATAACAATTTGTATACAAATTATCAGTGAAATCAAACTTCTCTCAGGTAAAATAGACATATATGCAATAGTAGTGAATGTTTACAACTTGTTAACACGTATGAGCACTTAACTTAAGCATCTACGGAAGTATTACAGAAGCTGTTGACAGCGTTGAACCCTTTTGAGGAAGTTATCTTATGAGAGCAGAATATGTAATTATATCGTTAAAGAAAATGATATGAACAAGCTTAATGCATTACTATTTTTTCTATATTAAATCATAACTCATCTATGCTTTACAATAACTTTTAACACGAACTACTGGTCTTAAAAAAATAATTATTAACAAACTAATATATAATCTGTCAAAATCAATGAAAAAAAATTGCCAATTGAATTATTTATGTTTCATTTCAAAATCAAGTTATCAGAAAAACATCCAATGCTTTTCATTTAACCACAATTTGATGCAATTGGAATATTTTATTTTATAATTCTTATTAGGTTTATTTAAATATATCGATAAAAAGGTTACTCGCATTTCAAGCGAATAACGTACAGTTTAATATAAAAATAACAAATATTTATATTCTAATGCAGCAATGTAAAAGATGTCAGGAATAGATTAAAGCAAATCTCAGGGAATTATAAATATTGAATTATTGGTACAATTTATTGTAAAACATTTTCTTGACCTTTTGACGTCATCATAAACATTAAAATTTATAATTGTAGTCTCTTGACCACTGTTCATTAAATAATAAATAAAAACAATTAGTTTTAATAAAATTAAATTTAACCGGTATAAAACTTAGTATATTATTTTATAAGTAAAATTATAAAAGTATTTAGAACAAAATATTCGCTATCGAAGAGTAAATGTGCCCAGATGCAATAACTGGAAAAAGACAACATGAATATGAACATGAACTTAAATCTTTAAAAATTCTATATCCGCATCTCATGGAAAGGAAAATGGACTGGAGACATGAATTAAATGATAATATATAATACCTGTTATCAATAGTCTGTCTGGTGAGTGTAGTAGCGCTTCGCTTGGAAAAATGAAACTTAGTAATACCGAGTATAACATATTTATTCGTTTTTTCATTACTCATTAGTGCAAGATCTTTTATAACAAACTTTCGATTTTTGGACACCTTCTTAAATAGCACAAGATTTTTTATAACTAAATAGTCATTAACTCTGCGTCTTTGTAGTCAGTAAAGTTTACAATGTTGAAATTTTATTAGGTTAGGTCAGTTTATATCAGCGATCCCTAGGAAATTCATTTAGACCGATTGACTTATTCTGTTACCGTATATAGAGGAAACCACATAGAAACTTTGGCGAAGCTTAAAGCGTAATTGTTCAAGATCCTCAAAAAAGGAGACCCCAAAGTATTGAGTCGCTACCGTGTATGAGCTGGGCAAAGGCAGAGTAGATGAGAAGCACCTTCATCGCCTTCCCTACTGCTGCAACAAGTATGATTGCAAGGGAGATACATTCTTCAAGCATAGGTCCCTAGTCTATAGTGACTTGTAAGTAAACCTGCCATAAAACTGATATTTTTACGTGGCATCTTAATGCGAATATTAGATTTCCTTTCACTGGATAGTGATTAGATTAAGTCTTCCCATCCTTTACTTAAGATTTCCAGTAGGGTAAATTAAATAATAATTAGGTAAATTAGGTGTTACCTTGTGAAAATTTTATAAGATGTTTAATAAATAAATTTGAAAACTTTTAACCAAAAATAATAAATAAGTGCAATAAATAAATAAATAAATATTTACATAAGTGCAGTCCAAAAAAATCCTAGGAAATTTCAATTTACTTTATCTCAATTTACTCAAACTCGCACACGGCCTAAATACAATTTTCACACTATCGACTTTCACGAATGTTATCAAGATAATAAATAATATAAATAAATAAATTATAAAATTAAATTATGATTATAAATTAAATAAATTATGATCAGTGTGACTTTAAGCCTGTACAACACTCTTAAAAGTGCGCGTTAAAGAACATCAAATACACTTAATCAACCTTATATTTTATGGCACTTTTATCTAAAGATATCTATGAAAAATAAATCTTATGTTTATTCGCTGCTGGATCAACCTTACCTTTCTGGTATCACCATGGACCTTAATGATCTATGCAGTAATGGACCTTTTGGTCTGCCAGTATAACCTAACTTAACCTTATCTTTTTGTTCTCCTATTTGGGCCAAATGTAGATAGTTCTCAGAACTTTTTTCATAGTCTCACTTAAGTTTCTTTATGTATAGATTTGTTGCTTCACTGGAGGGTTTAATTTTAAAACAAGAATTGATCCAATTAGAATTGGTCATAATTGATCGATATTGTACATATAGAAAAAAAACAAACTAATATGTTTTGTTTTTCAACAAACATTTATTTAAATAAATTTTTCGAACTACAATAACTAAATTTCGATACACTTCAATACAAAATTTTAGAACACAATAACTAAGCAGCAAAGTTCAATGTAAATTTTTAGTACAATACATTTAATTATAATTAAACTGTAAATGCGTACATACATATATATATTAGTAAAAAAAGCATATTATGTTAACTCGACAAAATGATTGGTTTTTCTTTATATAATAAATACATTAGAAAATATTTCATTTATAAATATTTATACGTGTATAATAAAAGTATATATTTGGTTTGTGTACATTTCTCCATTGTAATTTTTAATTATTAATTATTAATTAATGCTTTGCGCATGGATTGTTTTGTGTACTATGTAAAAATGCCATTAAAAATATTTATTTTTGATTTAATTTATTTATTTTATTCGATTTATATGTATCTTTTAAGTTCTGTATATTATTTTTTTTTATGCTTTTTGTAAATGTAGTAAATTGGTAAATACAGACAATTCCAGTACAATTCAGTAATAGTTGCTTTGGTTGCTGAGTATTTTATAAAGTTCTTTACATTTTATAGATTCTTTTCTGTTTATTTTTTTTTTTTTTTTTTTGTATACATATAGTATATTTTTAAGTTGCACATTTTAATTAATTCCGAATAAGACTTTTTGTTAAGACTTTTTTTCATTTATGTGTAAATGAAATTCAACGTTTTCATTGGTTTAACCTGCATGCACGGACTGAAATGAAGAAGAAAGTAAGAAAACCATAAATAAATGAAATGCAATTCAATTGTAAAAAATTGTAATAATTTGAAAATAATAAATAACAATTTTCATCGAAGCTTAACAAAACAAAAGATTTACTTATAAAACAAAAAATTTAGTTTTAATCAAAACATAAGATAGATACATAAAATAAAAGTTTAACTTGAAACAAATTTAAAAAGTAAAAATTGCTATGCAATATATAACTACTTTTACTACAAATTGTATAAAATTTTTATAATTGTTAAACTAATCTTAATGTTTTAATGTAATTACTACAAGTCTTTTAAGTTCATTGAATTTAAATGGATTTAAATAAAATCGGAATTTGGACGTACCCTAGCAATATCAACGCCAGTTATGTTCTTGACCAACTCTGGCACTTTGTTAACAATTTGCAAAACTTCACCAGTGAGTTTTGCAGCTCCAATTTCACCTTGTCCACTCGATACCATAGTAATCTTTTTGGCTTGTGATAATGGAGCAGCAACTTCTGCAGCAACCTATAAATAATAATTATTATTAATTGTTTGTTATTTGTTTATAATTAAAATTTAGAAATTCTTACCTTTGGTAAAGTGTCCAACAACATTTCAACCATAGCAGCCTCACGGTATTCACGCCAGGCTTCAGCCTTTTGTGCCATTTGTTCAGCTTCAGCTTTTGCTTTCAATTGAATTGCATATGCTTCAGCTTCACCTCGAATTTTAATCTAGGTAAAGTAATTTAAAATAAATATTATACTTAAATATATTATAATAATTCCATACAAGAGCATATATAATAATTTATATTAAAAAAAAAACATAAAAAAGAAACTTTCAAAGACTTTCAATGTTGAAGCTATTGGCCCCAGTGCACTTGAGCACTTTTACACTTTATTAACTCGAGGTATCTTCAAAACCCCTCTTTACGCCTTGATTTTTATCTAAGATTTCCAACCAATTATATTTCTTATCAAAATAAGAATGCCACGTAGAAAAAAGGATTGATTTGATCCCTAATTCAACGTAATGATGTGACGGATATTAGTTTTGCGAATACAGATAGAGATGTGAAGAAGTTCTAATATAAGTATATGGATATTTATTCTGAATTTTTAGAGAATAATCATAGGGATACGGCTGTTATTTAAGTAAATAGCAAAAAGTATGGCGGTTTTTCTTGTAAATAAGAGGTTAGACATCCACGTATAACATAATGCTCATTCATTAATTTTAAATCACAATTGATTTTAAGTTTTTAAAATAATTTAAGCCAGGAACTAATGTCTTAATGACCAGAAATGCAGAGCGGTAAATCGATAAACATGTTATATTGTTGCTGTTTATAATACTCAAAAGGGACTACACAAGCAGTTCCCAGCAGGCTATACCAATACCACAAGCACATTCGTGTGGTTATAACAAGAGCATTCGATCACCAAAATTTTGAGATCACCAAAAGTTCACTGAATTTAAAATAAAATTTTTATAAACAATTATCTTCACTATAAACTTTAAATATAAAAATGCTTTCAAAATTATGCAGAAATTAGTAATAAACTTACAGATTCTGCCTCTGCTTCAGCTTCCATAACTACTCGTAGTTTATTAGCTTCAGCTAATTTTTCTAAGCGATATTTTTCTGCCTCTGCTGGGCGTCGTATTGTAGCTTCGAGTTCCCTTTCGCGACGTTGAATTTCTTGATCTTGTACAGCTATTTCTTGTGTACGTTCAATAACTTTCACTTGCATTTGCTCTTCCTTAATGCGTTGCTTAGTCTTGGCAGCTTGCAATTCATAAGCCATCTCAGCTTCAGCTTTCTTTGTTTGAACTTCAACATCATAAGCGGCTTTTTTCAATTCAAAGTCACGTTGTGCTTTGGCAATCTCAGTATCATTTAGGAATCTAGAAGCCATACGTTGCTCTTCAGCTATAGCTTCCTTGATTGTTGCTTCACAACGAGCCTCAGCTTCACCAATGCGTGCATCACGTTTCACTTCTGCTGTACGTGCCATACCAAGTGATTTAAGGTATCCCTTTAAAATATGAATACATATATATTAATAAAATCTATTATCAGCAATAATACATTCATATATAATTGCATATTATGTATTATATTTTACTTAAATTATTAAATTTGTAAATAAATACATTTTATTACATCTAGAAGAAATTTAGAAAAATTAACAAAGAAATTTACTTTTCAAACAAAACACCATCACAAGACATGCTCAATGCATTAACAAATTATTATATACATATTGTTGGTTTATTTAAGATGTTTATAAA